GGAGACGACGAGGAGAGTGACTACGAGGAGTGTGCCTTCGCGTTCTTCTCTCCGGTGGAGATGCCGGGAGAACCAGCAACTCTCAAGGAGGCTTTGGAGAGTAGTGATGCTGAGGAGTGGAAGAAGGCCATGGAGAGTGAGCTGAAGAGCATCGAGGAGAATGACACGTTTGAATTGGTGGAGCTACCGGAGGGGCGTAAGGCGATTACGTCCAAGTGGCTCTTCAAGATCAAGTCCGACGCCGATGGCAAGATCGAGCGCTACAAGTCTAGGCTTGTGGCGAAGGGGTACCAGCAGAAGAAGAAGGTGGACTATAAGGAGTTGTTTGCTCCTGTGGTGAAGCCGACGACGCTGCGAACCCTACTCGCGGGAGCTGCCATCAAAGGATGGGTAGTAAAGCAAATGGACATCGTAACGGCATTCCTTAACGGCATCCTTGAGGAGGAGATTTTTATGGCGCAGCCAGAGGGGTTTGATGATGGTAGTGGCAGAGTGTGGAAGCTGAAGAAGGCCCTCTATGGGCTGAAGCAGGCCCCTAGGCAATGGTACATGAAGCTGCGCGAAGTGTTGGAGGGGATCGGCTTCACTCCCTCAACGGCCGATCACTCCTTGTTCATGCTTGGCGAGGGGGAGCAGAGGAGTTTCATGGTGGTTTATGTGGATGACATCCTCATTTTCTCACCCTCTTCTGACCTTGTGAAGGAGGTGATGCTGAAGCTTCAAGACAAGTTCAAGTGCAAGGCCCTTGGTGGCGTGAGCTTCTACCTTGGGCTCCACATCGAACGAGATGTGGAGAAGCGGTGCATGCGGGTGCATCAACGAAAGTACCTGGAGGCATTGGCTGCCAACTTTGGGCAGAGTGAAGGCCATGTGGCTACACCCTTTCCCTCTGGGTTCAAGTGTGTGAAGGGACCAGAGGAGGAGAGCGTTGGTGAAGAGGAGAGGCGCCGATTTCACTCGTTGGTGGGCAGCCTCATGTATGCGGCGGTAAACACCCGACCGGACGTCGCGTTTGCTACCGGGCAGCTGGCTAGGGTTGTGCAATGCCCTAATGAGGAGCAGGTAGCAGCTGGAATGAGGGTGGCCAAGTATCTTGGCCAAACACCGACCGTTGGGCTGCAATACTCGGCGGCGGCACAAAGGCGCCAAAAGGGCGCGGATGGTGTTGAACCCGGGCGTTTGTTCCTCACCGCCTACTCGGATGCTTCATATGCATCAGAACCAGAGGACATGACAAGTGTGGGAGGCTTCATATGCTGTGTTGGTGGAGGCCCAACTGCTTGGGAGAGCAAGAAGCAGGTTGACCAAGCTTTGAGCTCGGTGGAGTCCGAGTACATGGCACTCTTCCGTGCCGTACGGGAGATTGTGTGGCAGCGGCGTTTGTTGGCTGAATTGGGGGAGGAGCAGCAAGGACCTACCCCACTGTACTGTGACAGCCAGGGTGCCATTGCTCTTGCTAAGAACCCTGTGTTGCATGGACTCACGAAGCACATGAGGGTGAAGTGGCATTGGACGAGGAGCATGGTAACCGCGGGTGAAGTTGAGTTGCGCTACGTGAAGACCACGGGGCAGCCGGCTGACATGATGACCAAGAGGCTGGTGGAGCAGCAGCATTGGAAGTGTTGCAAGCTGGCTGGGATGGCTCTGAACTGAGAGAGCAACATATCCTAAGGCCAACAATCCGAGGGGGAGTTTGTTGGTGCAACCCTACGGTTTGCACTCGGCTTGTTGTCCGTGTGCGTGCATGTGTGTGTGTATAGAATGGTATGATGGCATGGGATAATATAAATTTATGCTTATAATTGTGTGTGAATGTCGAGTCATGATGTCGAGTGTGTGTGTCGAGTCAATAGCGAGTTATCGCTAGACTCGTGTTACGCGGTCGTTTGTGTCTCGCGCGCGGTTTCTATTTTGTCGTGCGCGGTTTCTATTTTGTCCTGTGTCGAACGTTCGGCGTATCGCAGGTGTGTGCAGCAGACCCATCAAGAACTCGAGGATGAGTTTGTGATGAAGGACCCAAGCCTTGGTTGCAAGCTTCAAGTGATTTCGAAGCTCGCCAAAAAGGGTACACCTCAAGATATTGAAGATAGTTGCATTACTTTGTGTAGTGTAACATTTCACTTGGTGTAGGCCCTAGTGCAGGGTAGTTTCGAGACCCTTCGTGGTTGGGGACAGTGTGGCACTGTTCCACATCACTGTACCTCGGCTCTTGGGGTTTGTAGGAGCTGGGAGTCATTCCCAACTCGTAACTCTTCCTATCTTGTGTTCTAAGACTATAGTGGCTGCCATAGTACCGTTCGTTCAAACCGACGCTGTGTCGTCAATTCTTTATGAAATCGTGCAATCTAAATTGCTTATTGTAGGCGACGTCAAGACGCTCCAGATCCAATTTGAATCAAGTCATTTGCAGCTGTGAGCAGAACGCTATCAACGTTTGAAGCCGCTGTGCAGAAATCCGTCTGTGCACTCTATCTTTCGTTTTAGGCACATTCAAGGCTATTGTGACTATAACAGGAGTGACGGGCAGGCCTGCAGGGGCGGAGGGCGGGCCTGCAGGGGCGGCGCGCAGGGCCTAGAGTCGACGGGCGGGCCTGCAGGGGCGGCGCGCGGGGCCTAGGGTTGACGGGCGGGCCGTAAGGGGCGGCGCACGGGACAGTAGGGGCGACGGGCGGGCCTGAAGGGGCGGCGCGCCGGGCCTAGGGTCGACGGGCGGGCCTGCAGGGGCAGCACACGGGCCTAGGGTCGACGGGCAAGCCGCAAGGGGCAATGCGCGGGACAGTAGGGGCGACGGGCGGGCCTGCAGGGGCGGCGCGCACGAGGGCTGCAGAAGGCGGCACGTGAGCCAGCAGGGCGGCGCGCTGGTAGGGCAGGGCAGCTAGTGGGGCAGCTCTGTGGTGGGCCCTAAAAAATCGGTCCTAACGAAGGACCTGCTTTGAAACCATGTCAGAAGAATGAACAAGAATTAATGAACTATGAAAGAGTTGGGTACAAGTACTAATAACCCTAATTGGGTTGTACCCCTTATGGGCTACCCCGCTATAGCCTACACAAAGTAAGCAGCATAACATTTTGGCATCCATGTCTCAACAGATGTGCGCCCGCGCGCGTGCACGCGTGTGTATATATGTTAAGGGGTAGAAAAAAACAAGGGTGTTCCATGGTACACCAAATTCCTTCCATTATGTTCTGAAATATGCATGAGACAGACCCTTCTAACATCAGAAATACCGTATGCTTGAGACAGACCCTTTGAAATATCAGGGTTAGAATTTTGGGAGCCTGTCAATTTCATTAGTTGTGCCCTGAAATTTCAGGGCAATCAGGGCAAAAGCCCTGGAAGCGACAGCCCTGAGAACTTTTGGACGAAATGAAGCAGATACAGGGCAAGGAAATTGTCAGCCACGACGCCATTGGGGTTGGGTGCGACGATCCGAGCTGGTAGGAAAAATCGTACGGCAGGTGACAGAAGTGGCCAGCTTACTGTACTGAACTTTGCACGCTCAGCCATGCTCCTTCCGTACAATGGGATCACAGCATCGTGCCAATCGTGGTCACAGGTGATAACTGGAGCTATTTTCCCGCCTTTTCTTTCGCGCACGGTAGGTCTGTCCTACATCCCTACGTGGCGCTTCAGCACTTTCGTTTGACCGACCTTGTCAGAATGACCCCTCTCACACCCACGTTACGTGCTGTTGACGATTTTCGGCGGTTTCCGGTTGTAGCGATACTTTGGGAGGCCTTTCGCGATGTCTGTGAAGAGAACTAGAACCCAACTACGGTGGCGAATTTCGGATGGGTATTTGACATGTCAATGGAATTGATCAGCTCCTGGCGGGTCCTTCAAAAAAACTCAAGTTTTTTTGCGTTTCTCTTCATCCAGGTGAATGCCAGCAAACTATATTTTGTCTCCACTCTTCCGACTGAATAAGTAGCTGGCAGCGCGTCTCGCTTTCAACCATCGCCATGACTCGCCATGCCGCTCCTTTTCTCGCGGCGAGCGTACTCACCTTGGCATTTTTCGCGACTTTCGTGCCGCTGATTGCGCCGGTTTCCGCGGCAAAGCAAAGCGACTTCCCCGCCTGTTGGTACTCGGGCCTGCTGCCCGTGAAACCGAATGTGACCGTAACGAGGTGCCTGGATGCCGCGGAATGGACGTGCTGCTCCGACTGCGAGGACCGGAAATACGCGGTAGTGGAGGCGTCCACGGATGGACGCGTTATACTGAACCAGGTCTCGCCGGGCCTCGGCGACAAGTTCACCAACGTCAACATGATGGTACGCGATACAGAGTAGCTCGTCGTTAGTACTAGGGAGTTTTTGAACCGCGATGGGGGGGAAAAAACGGGATAGATCTCGGCGAAAGTGATAAGGAAGGGGGCGCTGAACAAACTGCCTCGGTGCGCGAATATTTACGGGCCGGCCGTCTCTTTCCGTGATCTATCAGCGCCTCTCCCTCCCCACTCACCCCTTCCCCCTCATCCCCCCACTCCCCCCTCCCTCCACCTCCTTTCTTCATTCCGCGCCACTATTCCCTGCCAGTTTCCGCCACTCCGCATGTGTTCTCCCACATGCGTGCGCCATTGGCTGCAGTTCGAGTCGCATGTTTATGCTCTCTCACTCCCTCTCACTTCCTGCCTCTCTCACTCCTCTCTCTCGGCCTCTCGCTTTTATCCGCACCGCCAGTCCCGAACTCCGTCGCTCTGCCTCTCCGCGTCCACGCCTCGCCGCAGACATGCGCGCAATCCAGCGGCTTCGAGCTGTGCCGTTTCGCCGTCAATTTCCGCGGCTTTCACCCGCCACTTGCCGTTATCCCCTCTTATCCCGCCTCCTTCCCGCTAGAGCACGCGCGGCGGTTCAGCGGCTTGGGTCTACGCTTTTACGCACCCGCTGACAATTCGCCCTTTTTGTTCGCTTTCCCCCGTCCGCCTCTCCCCGCGCGCCCTCCCGCTCTCCCCACTCTTCCACCATTTCCCCCGCCGCCTCCCCCGCCTCCCGCGCAGGTGTGCGCGCAGTTCAGCGAGTTCCAGCAGTGCCAGCTCCTCCTGGAGCAGGTGGTGTGCGCCACGGGGTGCAACCCGGGTGAGTGCGGTGCAACCCGGATGAGTGAGAAGCAACCCGAGTTGGGAGCAACTCGGGTTACCACTTCGTAGCAGCTCGGCGAGTGGAGGCAACGAGGGCGAGTGAGAAGCAATGATAGCGAATGATGGGTGAATGGCGGTGACTCTGTGTTGGATGCGGTAAGCAGTTTGCGATGACTCTGTTGACTGAGCCAAAATAGCCCGCCCTGCTACTCCCCACATTCTCTTTCTCCACGCGCCTGCCAAAAATACCGGCAGCTGCTTCAAGCTGGTCCACGGGACGCGCGTCGTGTAGCTCTTCCCTCACCCATCCACCCATCACTGACTATGTGGTCATCCCCCCCACCACCTCCACCCCATGCGCCCCCACAGATTCGCGCAGGTACTCAACGCTGGTCAATGGGACGCGCGTTATTTTGCTCTTCCCTCACCCATTAACCTTCTTGCTGTGCGCTATCCCTCCCTCCTCCTCTCCCCACCTGCTCACCCCACGCGCACCCCACAGATTCGGGCAGCTACTTCAAGCTGGTCAACGACACGCGCGTCCTGCAACGCCTTCTCGCAGACCGTCTACCAGACCTGCAAGGGGCTCACACGTGAGTAGACTCTTTCTTTTCTTCAGGTGACTTCTGTGTTTGACTGCCTGTGTTGCGCGTCATGCTTCCAGCAACCTCCCAGACCGTCCCACCCTTTTAATTCGTGTGACTTCTGTTTCAAGCACCTATTACCCTTGCCATGCCGTGCAGGCCTGCAACCTCTCAGACCGTCTACCAAACCTGCAAGTGGCGCAAGTGCGAGCCCTGCCAAGCCTATCCATCATCCATCCATGCATCCTTCGCTCCACCCCTCCCTCCCTCTTCTCGCCTCCCTTCCGCTCCCTTCTTCTCCTTCACCCCCCCTCCCCCCCCCCCCCAACCACCCCCCACTCCCTTCTCCCCCTACTCGTTCCCCACTCGCCCCAACACGGTAGTGCCTGGAGTGGCGACGCTTGACAGGTTCTTCCCAACACCCGAGCGATTCATGGGGGTCCTGTTGGGCAAGGTGGGCACCGCCTGTGACGCCCTCTCTCCATCTTCACCTTTCGCCCTCACCTCTCCCCTCCTTTCCCACTCGCAGTGCCTGGCGTCGCCACACTCGACAAGTTCTTCCCCACAGCCGAGCGCTTCATGGAGGACCTCTTCGGCAAGGTGGGCACGGCCTTTGGCGTCTACAACTTCACAGTGGCCGTCACGCCTGACGACTCTGACCAAACCCAGTGCTACAACGGGCCCAAGAAGCTGCCCCCCATGCCCTTCTGCTGCGACCCGCTTCCCATCCCCATTGAGAAGTGCCCCGCTAAGGTTATGAACTTCACGGAGTATCCCAATATGAGGCAGTATATAAACAGGACGGTCACTGACAGGCAGTGCGATAAGTTCAAGTGCAGCAATAGCGACGGCGATGGCGGTGCTGCTGCTGGTGCTGGTGGTGGCACAAGCACCAAGCTGAATGGTATCACATCACCTGCTGACTGTATTCCTGCAAGCAACACTGGTGGCAGCAGCAGCAGTGGTGGTACTGATTTCAGCAGCAGCAGCAGCAGCAGCAGCAGCAGCAGCAGCAGCAGTGGGAGTTCCTCGTCTGGTTCGAGTGGTGGGAAGATCTCCAACCGCCTGCATGTTACGGCTTATTTCGTTGCTGTCGCATTGATGCTCGCAGTGCTGGCACTGCTGTGAAGGGCAGTTGATGGCCGACGTTCCCTCGCTTGTCTACATACCATGTATCATATCGGAGTCCGAAGGCCAAAGTGTGCAGTTGTTCGCAGCATCACAGTGAGCGACAGCAGCTTGAGACAGCTTTTTTGTCTTGGAAGTGCTGTAATCTGAATGGCGACCCCTGCCTACACGAGTGGCTTGGAGCTCTTATTCGGATCTAGGGACCTTCAATGAGGCAATCCCTGTGATCACATTTTCTTAATAATTCCATACAAATCCCAGTCAGCGTAAATTTGCCTGCCAATTCTGATCATCACAGTAAATTTCAAGAGCTGTCGTTTGTTTGTTGTCTACACAATTTTGTTAGAATAGCAGTTGAAAGTTAGAAACGAGAAAGGGTGATTGCACTAGCAAGCAGTTGAGTACATATAGCAAACCCTAGATTGGGCTGTACTCACTATTGAGTACCCCACTGCAGGCTAGACAAATATAACATTCTGACACACCCCCATAGCCAAAGTGGGGTGTAATCAGCACAGCAAGCAAAGCAAAACAAGCTCAGGGTGGATCACAAAGTCACCACACATTCTGAGCACAAGTACAAGAAGCAACAGTTTATAGTTCACAGCAATAAGTAAAGCTAGAGGCTATCACAGAGGGCAAGTGAGGAGGAGGAGGCTAGACTGATAGGAGAGGAGAGAGGAGGCAACGGCTGAAGCTGCAGACACACGGGCAACAGGAGCGCGCGCACTGTGGCTACCGGAGGCGCACCTCCGGACTACAGGGGTAACTGGCTCCGCGGCTAAGACGAGCGGCAGGAGCAACGGACCCACAGGCGACAGGCGAAGCAGGCTCGCTGAGCTACCGGAGGCGCACCTCCGGACTACTGGCGCTGCTGACGACACGACGGCTACTTCCCTTCAACCTCCCCCACTGTCGCACCCCCCTTTAACACACCCCCCGCTGCACCCCTAGTTTCACTCCCACACGACACACCCCCCTAGTGCCACTCCATCGTCTCCCACACACCCACCCCCCTCAGCGGCAACTGCAGCAGTGGGAGACGGAGGAGGAGGAGGAGTAGGGGAGACCGCACACATCCGTCACCCCCATACTCGCCACCCCCAAACCCCAACACAGGGTAGGGCCGCAGCAGGGGTGGCAGCTGGGCAGGGCCGCGACAGGGCCGGGGTAGGACGGCAGGGCCGGGCAAAGCAGGGCCGGGACAGGGCCGGGGCAGGACGGCAGGGCCGGGCAGGGCCGGGGCAGGACTGCAGGGCCGGGCAGGGCCGCGACGAAGACGGGAGGGGCCGACGCACGGCCCCCTTCTGTCGCCCCCCCCAGGGCGCCGCGACGGGCGACGGGAATGGGGGCCGCGCGGGCCCCCGTTGGCGCTGCGACGGGCGACGAGGGGGCCGCGCACGAGCCCCCCCGGGCGACGAAACCGCAGTGCGCCCCGGGGCGCGCGACGGGCAGAGCACCGTCGCGCGCCACGGGGCGCACGACGGGCAGATCAGGGCGTTGCGCTGCCCCCAGGGTGGCATGACGGGCAGAAAACCGCCGCGCGCCCCTAGTGCGCGGCGGGAAGAAAAAAGGCCGCGCGCCATGGGCGCGCGGCAGGCAGAAAGATAGCACGCGCCCGAGGCGCGCGATAGGCAGTGTTGACAGCGGAAGCTTAGGTGGGCCCATCCACAGGATCGACCCGAGGGGGTCGACCTGCTCTGATACCATGTTAGAATAGCAGTTGAAAGTTAGAAACGAGAAAGGGTGATTGCACTAGCAAGCAGTTGAGTACATATAGCAAACCCTAGATTGGGCTGTACTCACTATTGAGTACCCCACTGCAGGCTAGACAAATATAACATTCTGACAAATTTAATAATTATAATATCCTTTGACCGCCTCGGGCCATAAGTAAACCTTGTTGGAAACAAATAGTTATCGCTTCTGAAGTATCGAAGTAATAGCACGAACGAAGCAGACTACAGTGAAGCAACGCACGAGTCAACCAAGGAGGTTAAAACGTAACAGCTGGAGGTTACGCGAAGGTCAAAGGTCGCTGACATTTGACTCGACGAAATACAGCGCGACAGCAAGGACAAACAACTGACTCTGTATTGAGCAGTTGCCCGAGTCGACACTATATCGAACCGCAACAGCAAAAACAGTTAACAGCACCTTTTCGTATTCGTTGTAATCATATATATATTTCTTGTATCTCTTTGCTTTAATCAATCTATCTTGCTCTCACATACTAGTGCAAGGTGGTTCAAGTAATCTTATTATTACGCTTCCGCAATTATAACATTCCTACTCAAAAGGTCTTAGCCTTGAAAAGATCCTAAGGGCCTTTTTTGTTGGGCTGAGAAAATAGCCCTTAGGATCTTTTTCAAGGCTAAGATCTCTTTGTAGTAAGAGTGTTGTAGTTTGCGGAAGCGTTAATAAAGGCTTACTTGAACCACCTTGTACTGGTATGTGAGAACAAGATAAGTTAATAATAGCAAAGATATACAAAGCTTTTATATGATTACAAAGGAATATGAAAGGTTCTACTTTAACTGTTTTCTGCTGTTGCGGTTCGCTACAGTGACGACTCGGGCAACTGCTCAGTATCGAGTCAGTTATGTGTCCTTGCTGTCGTACTGTATTTTTCGTCGAGTCAAAGGTCAGCGACCTTTGACCTTCGTGTAACCTCCAGCTGTTACGATTGTTGACTCGCGTGTTGTTTCGCAGTAGTCCGCTCCGTTTCGTGTTGATACTTCGATTACTTCAGAAGCGTTAAATTACTTGTTTCCAATTCCAACACCCCCTTCGCTTCTGGAGTGTCGCTGCTGATGACGTGTCCTTGTCGAGTCAGCAGCATGCAGTCAAGGCCTCATATTCGTTTTTGGGGCTGTCTGATCAGTCACACTTGGTACAAAAATGTTGTCTGAACTATCAGAGTCCGTCTGAAAAAAAAGTCTGAAATTTCAGAGTGTCATTTGGAAAAACTATGATTATTCAGAGTTACCAGTTGTGATTAGTCTAATTGCATTCTGAGGGTTTGTTTGCAGGCTGTGGGTCAGTTTTTTAACTACCTTGGTGGACGTTGCTTGCACCTCATATAGCATGCATGCACTTAATTAGGTATCCTATCCAACCAAACCTTGTAGCCTACTACTATTTAAAGCTACAACTTCTACTACTCCATACTAGGTCTAGCCTATCCTACATAACTACCGTACGATTACTTACTCAATCAGTCATCATCATCACATTCAAGAGCACCATCATCTTCTAAGTCAACTACCTCCATCTCATCGGCATGCTCCTTGCCCTGCCTGCTGTGTTGCCTTGCTGCATCGATTGGAGCGTTGCTGTGGGGCTTGCGCTTCTTGTAGCTGTGCCAGATCGTGACAATCTCATCCCACTTGGGCTCATACTGCATGAGGCTCATGCACATGAGATCCCCAAGCCGTGCATCCTTCATCGCCCCTCGCTGCCACGACTTGATGATATTCTGCCGTGAGAACCCACGCTCGCACTCCACTGTGCTCAGCGGCAGAACGGCTACCGCCACCCACAACTGCACCAAGTTGGGGTAGTTCTCCCTCCATTCCAGCGTCTTCAGCATGGCAGTGAGTCCAGCATGGAAACTGCGGTCGTTCTTGCTGGCCCCTGCAAGCACCGAGGTGAACATGCGCAGCTCCTTATGCGCACGTCGCTTGTTGATTCCTGAAGGGGGTTTGAAGGTATAACAATGAAAAGTGGAACACACAAGAATGGAGCACTTGACCGAAGTAGCACCACATCACATAAAACCATACAGAGATGAAATGGGTAAGGCACATACGTACATTTACAGTAGACTACAGCTTACCAGGCAGGATTTCTTCGCTCTTGTCTGCCTTGAACAGAGTGACCAGGGACGACAGCCACTGAAGGCATCTGGCGAGCCTTTTGCCTCGGTCCAGTGGATACTCGTCAGGGGTGAATAGCTTGGCCCCTGCCATTCCCTCGAGGTCGCCAAGCCGGGATTCCAGCTCAAAGACGATCTTCTCCGCGAATGCGGTGCAGACCTCCACGCAGCCATCATGCGTGGCGGGCCCCTCAAAATCCTCCACTTCGTCCTCATGCAGCTAGAACTTGAAGCACGTGGGTCGCCCGTCAGAGTCAACGCCCTCGACTGTCACCTCCCTGTTTCCTCCAGGCCCATGACGCGCGAGGAAAGGGGATAGCCGCTCGCTTACGCCGCCACCGAAGTCGTCGCCGCAGTCAACGTAGCGAGACTCGATGTGAGAGGTGGTGCGCCTTATCTGCCCATAGACGCCGGCATAATCCAGCTGGGTTGAACACGGAAGGAAATGAATGTTAGTGAGACACAGTATACAATAAAGCAAATGTACTAAGACCTAGAAAACCACCAGTAACATCCTCACCTCTTTGTGCTGGAAGGCCCTGTTCAAGATGTTCAACTGCTCAAGGACGTCAGCAATGAAAAAAAAGAGGAAATGAAAGCTGTAGCTTGTCACCAGAGCATACAGGTCAGCATCCCACTCCTTCAGCATCACGATCAGCCCTGGAAGCACGGCGATAAAACGCAGCACAGCATCGCCCCGCGAGAGCCAGCGAACTGCATGGATCCCTTGCAGTTCCAGGCTTGTTGAGGTGAACACGTCCTGGAGATCCATGAACCTCTGGTGCCACGGCCCCGACCTGCCAAGGTGCTCAGCCACGGTCCGAATCACCTTGTCGACGACATTGAAGGCGGGGATGTTCTCAGCAGCATGTTTGGCAGCCAGAGCCTCCCTGAAACGCATACAAGAAAGGTTAGTACTGAGTCTGGAAGTAAAAGGCAGTCACAAAGGCCTATAGAAGAGCCCACATACCTGTGCGCGATGCAGTGTGAAGACACCAAATGGGGGATGCGCAGGCGGAGGCGTGTCACCAAGCTCGACTTGCTACCCATCATGACGTTGGCACCGTCAGTGCTGATGCCGGATATCCGCCTCAGGTCGATGCCGACTGCCTGCAGGTGCGAA